CTTACCTTATTTACACATTTCCGTGTCTTCAGTCAAACAGCATCTTTGGATGCTATTTTTAGGAAGTTTTTGAACTTCCTGAAATTATCTGAACTAGAGTCTGTATACTGGCGTTGCTACATAAATTAAAAAATGAGAATAAAAGATATCCTCCAACGTTCGACCGTACACATTTCCTACCTACAAACACGACACTTATAATGCCTACTAAGTAAACCTTCATTTACACACCAATCAATTAATGCTTTTTTCCCTTTCATTCCATATTGTACAGAAACTTCAAATTAATATTACCACATTCAGCCATTTTACCGTGTATACCAAAAATAACAATGTACTTCTTATCCAAAATCCGACACACAAACAAGTTCCAAATCTTTTCCCATCATTCAAATTCACCGCAATCACACAGCCAATTACGTTATACAGTGCAAAGTCCAAAATCTGGACGTCCATTATCCGGTATGATCTAAAATCCGGACCTCAAAACCACCAACAACATTTTTCTCCTAGGCTTCACGCATGCACGTTTGATTCTTCCCTACACGCATAATAAAACATCTGGAGAGTCTTGATTCTTAATTTCACTTTGACACTAAATACAGTACCTTGTTATTGAAGAAACAAACATTTTGGCATAAATTTGTACGATCAGTAATTTGGTTCCATTGCTGCGTATCTGCTTTTTGGCACACATCTCAAACCAAAGCGTTCCACATAGATACATGGTTGATCTGACACAAACATGGTGAATCATTATTTATTATACTTTCCTTTCATCATCGCATATTTATCAAAACATTACAACTTGAAGTAATGACTCGTGTAACGATGCCTAAACAATTTTTTTATGTTAGTAATTAAAAAATAAAGGTGTATGATAACATTTTATGTAGATTATTACACTTGGTGATGATTACAGATTTATGTTAAATGCGCTACAAAATGTTGACGAGGAAAAATTTACCAAAACTTTCTTTCCATATGCTAAAAATAGATTTTGGTGACGATACTCATGGAGCCAAATGCATAGCCTCTCAGGACTCATGATGCATAGCCAAATATGTATAGTGAAGAATAGCTACATTTGATGATGACAGCCACTAATTTTAAAGGTTTTCGTATATTGCAAAACAAAGGTGAAATTTTCCAATTAACAGGTTTTGGAAAGAAATGTGGAGAAGCAGTAATAAATGAAGATGATATAAAAGAGGTTTTTCATTGTGATGATAATGCTTCTCAATCATCAATCAATTAATGAATGGCAAAATCTGTAGTATGGTTCCAGATCCAGAAAATACTGCTACCGATAGTGAAGAAAGTGACAGAGAAGTTACTGAAAATGAGAAAATTTCGATTGACAAGTTAGTCGGAATTCTCGAAATAGCAGTTACAGAACTGCAACAATGTAACTAAACAAGAGATTATGTCTGTCGAAAGAATTAAAGAGAAAGTATTAGCACAAAAAAGAAGTAACTTACACTGAAAGAAATGTTAAATAAGGTAAACAAATAAATATTAAGCTTTTTTTTTTTTTTTTTTTTTTTAATTTTGTTACCCTTTATATCGTAAATACTTCATTATTTCATAAATCGGGATTTCATATTTTTAATTTTATAATTTCTACATGCCATCTTACTAGATTTAAACCGATGATCTAATATCGGGAAAAATACTGAATCCGGAATTGCCAAAGTCCCGACGAGTCCGGATTTTGTACTGTAATAGGGTTTCCATAACATTCGACTACTCAGGTTACCATAAACGAAACAACTGGAGAAAGTTCAGAATCACCCACTGTTTTGTGCATTTCTCATAATCACCAACTTGAAAATAAGAAGTCAAAGAATTGCACAGACTTGGTGTCAATGTACACATCGACCTATTTCACTTTAAAAAATATCAGAGAATTGCACAAACTTGGCACTGCACACTCCCTTGACTTTCTCCATGTACACATTGATACATGCCAGTAGGCGATTCTGCATTAACTTTAAAATAATGGTACTACTCTTATATGTGCCCTCAGGTCGCCAAATGTGGTGATATGTGTTCTGCGCTGGTTTTTGGCACAACTGCATGTTCTGCAATGGTTTTCAGGCAATGTTAGTTTCCATGGCAACGCTTTTTGCATGGAAACTTGGATTTGACTGTAATGGTTTTAGTTGGTGGTTGGTTCGTGTGGTGGGTGGTTTGAAATAGTTTATTATGCAATGACAGATGTGTTAGCAAAATATTAGTCGTGTGCCTGGTACAACTATTTTTTCAGGTGGCTGGAAATTCTACAAGGTTTTGAACATTTATTTGTGAAAGATAGTATCAATTTTGTGGATAGCGAGTCTGGCTGTCATACAAATACGATAGAGATTATGTGGCGGCATGTTAAAAGCTACGTTGCCTATGTTATGTTTTTTCGTCGTTGTTCTGAAACGGGAAAAGATGCTTTCAACAAATTTGTGATGAAATTGTTTAGGTGATGTTTGAAATTGGTATTTCTGCTGTTCGAAGAAACATTCATTCATGGTAAGTGCATTTTATTTTATTCTTGTTCTTATTTTGTAGAATGTTATGTTCATTGTTTTTTTTAGTATGAATTTCTGTTGTTACTGTTGTTTTTCATTTATTTTAGTTTATTTTGTTGATTAGTGTGCAATGCCTAGATTGTGCAATTTGTAGATGATTTTTTTTAAAAGTTTAAACAGTACATGGTATTCTTGAAATTTATTGTTATGTTAATTTATTTAAGCGAGGTGTGTGTAGTTCATAGATTCCTTCGCTGCCTAGATTGTGCAATTTGTAGATGTTTTTCAAGTTTACACAGAGTGTATGCTACTTTTTGAAATTTATTGTAGTTATGTTAATTTATTTAAGCAAGGTGTGCGTACTTCGTAGATTCCTTCACTGCATAGATAGTGCAATTCTGTGATATATTTTAAGTTAAAACAGATCGCTGTGTACATGGATTCTTGTCAAATATTTCTGGTTAGAAACTTTATGTTTTTGCTATCTAAATTTTTTGTTCTTGTTTCGAATTTTTAGCTTAAATTGTATGTTCAAAACGTGGTTTTTGCACTCGCGAAAACCGCATTTTGGGAGACATTTTAAGCTTAAAGTTCGAAATGTAGATAAAAAATTTAGATAGTAATATTTGCCATGTAGTTTCTCGCCAAAAATGTTTGGTGAGAAATTTGTCGCCAAGCGAGAGCGTACATGAGAGTAGTTCCAAAATAACAAGTCAAAGAACTGCACAAACTTGGTATCCATGGACACATCCACTTTTTTTCACTTGAAAAAAAATCAGAGAATTGCACAAACTTGGCACTGCACACTCCCTTGACTTTGTCCATGTACACATCGATATGGGCCTTATAAGTGGACGATTCTTGACTTTAGTCGAAACAACTTAGCAATAATCCAAGAGGCACCCTTAAATCTACTCAAGCATGTATTGATGTGTACTAACCAGTATTTCCTTCCTATAGCAAATACCACTTTTGGCAGCATTCGAAATTTTCACCCTATAGATTGATAGATCAAGTTTGCTAATTCTGGCACTTATATGCACTGACTGCTTTAACAAAGAAATATCAAAAGATTTTAAAAAACAGAATTAAGCATTCTTTCCTTAAAAAAAGGACAATAATAGTAACATGATTTCTTTATTTAATTATCACAGTAATATGATTTGTTTATGAGTAACTCTGTAACTTAATTTTCATATACATTTTTGGCTCCTTTAATTAATTGATACATACGTTATTCAAGTTTGGAAATAAAAATGAATGGCTTACTAACAAACATTGGTACTATTCTGTTTCAAGGGCCGTAAAAAATCGCCAAATTATCGTTGATGCCAATGCTGCCAAAAAGAATTGCTGCAACCCTAATAATTGCGGCAAGAAAGGAAGTATAATAGTAAATAACTATCTAAGATTGATGTTTTAATTTAGATGAAAGGTTAATTTCATATAATACTTTTTTATTATTATAATTTATATGAAAAAGGCTGAACATGACTGAATGGAAGCATAAGAGTAAATAATTATTTCAGATCATTATTATAATTTATATAAAAATTGCTAAACGTAATGGAATGGATGCCTGCATCGCTATTTCGCTACCGACTTATCGCCAAAGCATAATTTCATCTCGTTGGTTGTTCAAACGTAATTTTCTATAATTAATGATGCCTTTTCTTTGAAAATATTCTCGGTAAAGTGCAGAATCGCTCACTTATTTGTTTGCCACTTTTTACAAGGGTAAAAACAATTGGATTTTTGTCATTTTTCTTTTACTTTTTAAGTGAAAATAGGTCTATGTGTAAATAGATAAAGTCAAGGGTGTGCACAGTGCCATTTTTGTTTAGTTCTAGGATTTTTTTTTAAGTGAAAATAGGTCGATGGAATTCTAGGATTTTTTTTAAAGTGAAAATAGGTCGATGTGCACATGGATACCGAGCATGTGCAATTCTTAAAAACACGTCAAGCAGCGGATGATTCTGCACTTTACCCAAAATTCTATTGCCGACTTTTCGTCATGGGCAATTCCCAAATTGTTATATCCATAGGATATCAAAAAAGGATTTAAAAATTAAACTAATTTAAAAATTAAACTAGTATTTCAATGGCGTCTTAAGAAATATAGAACTATATAAACTTACCCGATCTGAAATCAACGCGTACATTAGATTTGGGCACATTTGCTAGATTTGCCACTTTTGCGCATACATTTTCGCTGCAATTTTCTTACGGCCCTCAAAACAGAATAGTACCCAAACATCAAATCATAAATCTTACAAGTTTTAAGCAATAAGAGACTTTCTAAAGTTGTATTTCTGCAAAGACCATGCAGGATACAAACAATATTAAAATAACAAAAGCATAGCAACACTTGTGATACCATGAAATGCATTTTAGATTATAAATAAAACTTAATAGTTGCCCGTGTAGTGAAACTGCAAATGTTGTCAAATGAGGAATTTTTTTTCCATAGGTTTTGAGTTTTAATTTCCAGTAAACATACTTGATTTTTTTTTTTTTTTTTTTTTTTTTTTTTTTAAATTTCACTAAAACCAAACGTTAAAAGGGAAAAAAAAAAAAAAAAGAAATTATGTGTAACACTAAAATAGTCTTTTAAACAGCAGTTTTTTTTGTTTTTTTTTTATATTTTAATCTTCTTTGACAAAGGTTTAGTTTTGCTGTTTTCTGTATCATCAGAAAATTCATACGATGATTTAAACAGATGTTCAAAGTCCATTTTAGCATCCATAAAATATTCACCATCACCATAAAATGCCTTTATGTTGAAAACAAGATCTTTATTGTAATCATTTTTTAATAAATACTTTTTTTCATTTTCTTTGTACTCTAAAAATAACGTTAGCTCTTCTTTGCACTGCTGTAAAATTAATAAATTACCTAAATCATCAAACACTACATCTACAGCTTCACTTTTAAGAGGAATGAATTGAATGAAACGAAAGTTTTCTTCTGCAACATTAGGTAACTGATAAATAGCAACTCCATTCTGCATGTAAAACAAAATCGCAAATAATTGATATTTGAAGCAAACTTTTAAACATCTAACTGAAAAGCGAAATTGTTCAACAGTTATTGCAATATTGCCCGAGTTTTCAAAAAATTCTAAATTTGCATTGTCACATGAAGCACATTCTTTAATTAATTCAGTATCTTCAAAGATCTTTATACTTTTGGCCTGAGTTCCATCCAAGTAATTCCATAGACGTATAGTTCCATCGCCAGAACTTGAAAGAACAAATTCATCGTATAATGAAATACATTTAACGAAAGACACAAATTCTTGATGGCCCAAGCAATAACTCTGTATATTGTAACAATTCGGGTAACATGATACTCTAATTTTACCATCTCTGTCGCACGTAACTAGATACTTATCATCATGAGATATAGATAAATCTATAATAAGACTTACATGACCAAGAAGAAATTTTCCAGGGCTATCGTGATTAGAAACTGAAAAACTAGTTACTTTACCTCCTCGATCTGCAATAATAATTTCAGAGCTAGAGTTAGAAAAAATTGCTTTCTGGGCCTTCCGAGGCAGCTCTCGAGAACTCAATACTTTCCAATGACCAGTTTCCTCTGATTTTTTCCATAAATGCAATAAACATAAAGAATCACAAGCTGCAAAGAAATTATTACAATTTGACATACAAGCAGATACAGCATACTGCTTTTGGTTTGATTTATTCGTTTCCATTGCATTATTAGATTGTTCCTTTGTGGGGAAATTAAGATACCACCCAATTGCTAAAGCATCAGGATCTACAAGTGAATCAAAAATCAAAATGTTATCTTCATTTAAAAATGCATACCTACAGTTATTCGCAGAGTTCAGAACCCCAGAGCGTACTACAACCTCCATCACGTTAGTGAAATAAACACATAAAAAGAACTTAACACACCAAAACCAAAATTATAAACATTCTATAACACATGTCTTGTTTTGCACTTGCTAAGACTTTTGACAGCAAGTAAAAAAAACTGATCATCAAGTCGTTGATCAACTGATCGCAATGAACCTCTCCTTAGAGATTCTTTGGATCAAGGAAGGCTCAGAGGCTTAATGCCTTTATTCCCACATCATCAAAGATTAAATAATTATCATAAAAACTTAGCAATGTCCAGAAAAGAATTTCATGCAAACTTTGAAGCTACTGCCGTAACTGTATGCTGCTATACATGCTTTACGAAGATTTCATATTTTGCAGATCAGCTGGGTTCTGCACGCTGAGCCGGTATTCTAGAGGTCCGTGGTTCGATTTCCAGCGAAGGCGATTGCTCATTTTTCATCTTACCTGCTTCCAAAAAAATATCTAATGTATCTACAGTGACGCCCGAACTAAAAGGATGTTAAATGACGATTCTCCGCATCCAGGATTTGGCGATTGGGTCCCCTAAAATCCCCAGTCGCCCTTTAAAAGGGGGAGTATATAAGGTATTTCTCCCGCCTTCCTAACGTGCTTTCGTGGTGTAGTGGTTCTGCACTTTGGGCCGGTATTCCAGAAGTCCGTGGTTCGATTCTCGGCGAAGGCGACTGCTCATTTTTCATCTTGCCTGCTTCCAAAAAAATACCTAATGTCTCTACACAAGTACCAAAAATCACTTACTCAAAATAGTAGTCAAGTATATTTCAATTTTCCCATTTTCAATTTGTGAATAAGTAATGAGTTTTTAAAACAAAAACACACAAGCTGGCCGAAATATAAAAACTAGGTATTATACACTACATGAATAACTTTATGAAATACAATAACCCTATATATGATTCTTATATTGGAAACTTGACTTATCAAATACTTATTTTTTAGATGGTATAAATTTAAAAAAATTAGCTTGCAAAACCATGGAAATCTTTATAGATATATAAAGAACGTGATATTTACTTTAAAAAATGAATAAATAAAGCAGTGTAAATAAAACAAAAACTACAAATTAAAAATACATGCTTTTGTTTTAACAAATACATGGCTTAAATAAAACTGACTGTTCACAGAAAAAAAAAAAAAAATTCATGAATAGAAAGTGAAAATTAGTAAAGATATAATGATGACAGCCCTATTTAAACCTGTAAAAGTTCTCTCAAATGTAGTTGTGATGTTTTTTTTTTCGGGGGGGAGGGGGACAAACTATATATATATATTGTTTGTATGCAACAAAAAGTTAAGGCCTGTTCAAGGATTTTTTTTTAAATTTAAATTTTCACATCATATTTTTTCAATTACGATAAATTTCCAACAGCATCGTAGATATGACAGAATTATAGTACAGATTATTTTTATTTTAATTGACTTCACAGAAAATAATGATAAAGCACTGAGCTTTATAAAAGTAATCTGATTTTTAAAATTATGCTGTTTAAATGTTTATGTTCAATATTGCATGAATCAAGATTTTCAGCCTTTTCTTCTTTTCTTTTTTTAACTAAGTAAACATATCGCACAATCTTTTCTCAATAATTTAACAATAGTTAGAGCATTTTTCTTTTTCTTATCGCAGGCAGTACTTGTTTACGAAACCAAAACGCGTACGACTTAGCGAAAAAAGGTTAGCGCCAATTGGCGCAGCTTTCTATTTCAACGGAGTACACGGGAAAAGAATTTTAAATTTAAATTATTTATAAAAGGTAATTCCAGTAAATAGTAGTGTCACAGTATTTAATACATTTTGATGGTAATAATACATGCTGAAAATGTCATATGCAACGGCTATTTTCTTATACAATATGGGCAAAACTTTCCAACCAATTCAACAGAGATAGTAAAATGACAAAAATACTGAACATAAAATAATAAATCATGCAGTTTTAACTTTCTTATTAAAGGTTACAGGTCTTCCTTTTACAAAACTTTCTTTACATCCATAGGCGCTGCAGCGGATAACCATTTTTTCTTCAATTTTATGTAACAAGGTAGAGCAGTTGTCCTTCGTCCCATAGAAATGAATATAAAATATTTCCGGACTTTCGGAATTAGCCATAAGTCAGTGACACTAATGCTGGAACCGGTTGCAGGTTGCAAATACGCTCTCTACCAGTATATATCTCGTTGAAAGATTTGTCTAAATAAAATATCTAGGCACAATAACCCTTTTAGCATGGAACAAAGAGGTGGTTACTCTTAGGTTACAACCGCTTACAGTTGAAAGAAATAATAATTCTCCGATTACAGGACAAAGAGAGTGATCCTGAACAAGCTGAAACAGCGAATTCACTCAGACGGGGAGGGGGGCAGTGAACGAGTTCGAGGCGCGCCTCGTTTTCAGCGTCACTTAGGAAATGGTAACGCATTATATGTGCTTTCCAGAGTGGCTCTTGGTCTTTTTCTAGATCGCGCAATACCTGGATGATAAATAGGCAATGAATGGAGAACCGATTGAAGGAAATTTTTTGAAAAGTTAACAGACGCCGCGTGGGTATTAGGCGCCCTTGTTCAAATTGAAATTTGGCGCCCCTTTATGAGGTTCTGTTGCTCTCATATAAAGTGCTGCAAATTATGTGTGAAATACTCTTTTATAATATTAAAAATTTGACGTTCGAACTAACAGGGCAGTTAAAGTAGTTAATAAAGTTAGTAGTATTTAAATTTAAGTAAAGTTAGCAGTATTTAAAATTATAATATTAAAACACGTGTTTGTCTTCTTTTTATTATTATTATTTCTTAAAATTTAAAAACAAAACAACGATAAAACATTTCTTAAGTAAAATATAAAAATTTAAAATATATATTTAAATATTGATTCTCCTAGCTTTAGCAGCTACAAACTCGCGTATCAATTCCTTTATATTTAATTTATCCAAAATTTTTCTCTCTATGGATATAATTGACAAGTCCTATAATCTCTCTTGCGCCATGGTAGATGGCATGTAGTTTTTTATAATTTTAAGTTTTGAAAAACTTGGTTTTCCAGTAGCCACCGAAACTGGCAAGGTTAAAGAAATCCGTAAAGCTATTACAATATTTGGAAATGTATCGGTAAGATTGTTTTCATAAATATAATTTAAAACATCAATATGCTCTTTGGTAAAACATAGCAAAGATTTTATTTCTTCGAAATGCCTCAATAACCTTTCCATTAGCATTTTTAGTATCCATTCATTTTTGTTCTAATCATTTATAATGTTTTAAAATTTCATCGTCACTCCAGTTTTTTTTTTTTTTAATTAGGTATATAGTGTACTACCTTGAAGTAATTCTGATGTTCTGAATATTTCAGTACTTGAAGAAATAGTAGTGTCTAATATTATATTGTAAAATTCAAGCTTAAATTTTTGTCTCGGATTGTTGATTGGTGTCTTCATCTTGAAATAGTGTCCTTTTAAACCTGTTTCGACTTTATGGAAAATCAGTATCCACCCCCGAATCATCAGCAACGATACTTGCATTGGCAATTGCATGTTCATACGCTTCATCTGATCTACGATTATTGAGTTCTGATATAATATTTTGTAAATTGTCAGTCACGATTTGTAAATCATATTTAGAATTTTTCATTATTTCATTTACCACATTCACTAAATTTAAAATATCGTGCCAGATGTTAATGGAACAAATGAATTTAAACGATGAAACTATCTGAATCAACTTTTTTGCTTGAGTTCCTGATTCTATGTCTCTTGTTTGATCTTCTTGAATATTTATCAACGCTCTCAAATTTCCCTTCAAATCATTTTCTTCGATCGTTGGGTCTTAAAGCCTGAATTCTACTTTCCCATCTGGCGTTGGAGAATGGCTTTAAAGTAATATTTTCAGCATGCTGTTGCAAAATAAACCAACGTCTAACGGATGAAGAAAAGTAGTTGTAAAGCTCCTGCACTACTCCGAAGAAATTAACTGTTTCGAAGGAAATTTTAGCTGCATCATTTACAACTAAATTTAGAGAATGGCAGAGCAGGGGATATAGAGTGCCCTCGAATTATTTTCAATAATTTTTTGTTGTAATCCTTTGTGCTTTCCTCTCATAATAGCACCATTTTAATAAGATTGGTCTCGTAAATCTGCTAAATTTAGTTCTAACGGTTTTAAATGTTCATTTATGAATTCAAACAGATCCTGTCCAATAGTGACGTTGACAGATTGAAATCCTAAAAAAAGTACTTCAATTTGGGCTTTACTGGTTTCCTCGTTCTTATAAACAAATCAAATTACAACAGTCAACTGTTCGGAATTACTGACATCAGGTGTAGTATCCAGAATTAGAATGTAATATTCTGACGATTTAATCATATGTAATAAATGCTTTTTAATTCCTTCTGAAATAATGCTTATAATTTTATTCTGAATTTGATCCCCTAAGTAATGAGCAATGTTCTTCTTTTGAGATGTTTGAATTTTGTGGAGATGTTCAACGATTATTGGATCAAATTTTGCTATGGTTTCAACCAAATTCAAAAAATTTCCATTATCACTGTGATACAACTCTTTCGAAGAACCTCTAAATGCAAGGCATTGCCGGGCTAAATATTGAATTAAATAAATAAGACGTTCAATAACTGATTGCCAGTAAACCTTTTCTGCATCATAAAATCTTTGTTGAGCTGCATCAATAGTACATAAATTACGCAAAGACATTTTGAGTTCACTGAATGTTGAACTATGTTTAAGGCGACTGCTTTCATATATTTTCAAAATGTGTATTAAATGTGCCCAATCATTATATCCACCCTTAATAGGCTGTGAATGCTTCTCACTGAATAGTTTACATGGGAAACAAAAACTGCGTTGCGGGAATTCGATTACTAAATAATTTCTAAATACTTTTTCTCCATTCGGTAATGTTCTATAATGGAACGATTCTGTAAACTTTCTGCCAGAATTATCTCTCGGAAAATGTTTGGATATCAAGCGGGGAGGGCCAATTTCAATT